TGCCGCCGGTTTGGTTGACCCAAATTACTGGCGGGGAACTCTCAGTCCTCGCCCTGTACTTGATTGGTATGCCCAGTAATTCAAGTTTGTTTCTTTTTTAGTACCCTTTGGGGTTTTAATGGCATTATAATAGGTTGGGTTAAATTTATCTAACGATGAATGACCATGCTTTGGCAGGTATTTGAAGAGGGTGGATGAGGCCGTACAAGAGGCAAAGGAGCTGGCACAAGGTTGATCAACTCCATCTGTTTAGAAATTTGAAATGTATATCAATTGCTTCAATTCAATATCTATGTATTTTTTGTTTTCTTTCTGTAATTCGGAGCACTTTAGATATTGTGAATTGGGCTAAGTTGAAACAAAATCTATCTCGAGTGTTGTATGGTTAGGATGAAGTTGAGAAACGGTGAGAGAATGAGTTGTTACATGGTGGCCAACCTATCTGTTGCAGACGATTGAGCCGAAAACATGGAGACCCCTTGCTCTCTAACTTCTGGACATTAGTAATCTTTGAAAGTTGAGAAAGATAGGTGAAATCTAATACTAGAGTTAGTATTAGAGTAGTCGAACATGTGTAAGTCAATTCTCTTTAGCAAACTTAGATGATGCTAAAAGATAATTAGTTTCATTTCTGTTAATAGGGATGGGCAATGTGTTACTCTTGAGGTGGTGGTGATAGTGCTGGTGGTTTTGGTAGTAATGGTGATGGTGGTTGATACCCATGGCCTATCCCTATCTGTTAACTTCTTAGTGTGTTATTACATCTTTGAAAATGGCATTGCTTGATTTTAAAATTCTCATGCTTTAGCAGCTTTTCTAGTGCAATGATATCACTTTAGCAGTTTCAGCTATGCTTGAAAGGGAAATTAACCTACCGATTTAATGAAAATACTTTAGCTTGAGTGGTTTGATCCAATATAACCTTATTGTTAAATTTTTGGAAGCCCAGTAATTGGTTATTGTACAATTTGTAATTGCTATGCATCTTAATGATGATCTCCCCTCCCCTAGACCCCTCAGTGTGAGAGGTGGGGTTGAGGAGGGTGAGTTAAAGTATAATACGGGTTAGATAATGTGCCCAAAAAAGCCATAAGAAATGTCCGTCCTTCCTTCACTTGTGAATCTTCCTTGTGGCCATGGCAAAATTCAACACTATATTTGTTCCCTTTTGTTCATGGGGTCTCTCCTTCCTTGCCATCCTCTGTCATTGACTCATTGAACATGTGAGTTCTCTATCAAACACAGCAATTGACTTATTTGCTTCATTTCTTATGGTTTTTAGGTGGGAAATTATCCCTGATTGGACACTCAGCAGGAGGATGGCTTGCACGTCTCTACATTGAAGAATTTGGGCTGTCCGATATATCCTTGTTGTTGACTCTTGGAACCCCCCACCTGTAGGTCATCAAAC